AGTGTGAGGTTTAGTGAGGGAGTGTGAGGGTCAGTGAGGGAGTGTGAAGTTTAGTGAGGGAGTGTGAAGTTTAGTGAGGGAGAGTGAGGGAGAGTGAGGGTCAGTGAGGGAGTGTGAGGTTTAGTGAGGGAATGTGAGGGTCACTGAGGGAGTGAGGGTCAGTGAGTGAGGGTCAGTGAGGGAGTGGGGGTCGGTGAGTGAGAGATCATTGAATGAGTGAGGATCAGTGAGGGAGTGAGTATTAATGAGTGAGCATGGGAGGTTGAGGCGTGACCTTATAGAGGTTTATAAAATCATGAGGGGCATGAATGGAGTGAATAGACAAGGGGTGGGGGAATCCAAAACTAGAGGGGCATAAGTTTAAGGTGAGCAGGGAAAGATTTAACAGGGACCTGAGGGGTAACTTTTTCATACAAAGGGTGGTGTATGTATGGAATGAGTTGCCAGAGAAAGTGGTGGAGGCTGGTATGATTACAACATTTAAAAGGCGTCTGGGTGGGTACATCAATAGGAAGGGTTTTGAGGGATATGGACCAAATGCTGGCAAATGGGACTGGATTTATCTAGGACATCTGGTCGGCATGGATGAGTTGGACCAAAGGGTCTGTTTCCATGCTGTATATCTCCATGACTCTAAGAGTGAGGGCCAGTGAGTGAATGAGGGTCAGTGAGCCACAGGTGAGGTGTCTGAGGACTGGAGAGTGGCTAATGTTGTCTCACTGTTTATGAGAGGCTCTAAGGAGGACCCTGGGAACTGTAGATCAGTGAGACAGACATCAGTAGTGGATAAGTTTTTGGAGGGGATTCTGAGAGATAGGACTTATGTGCATTTGGAAAGGCAAGGACTGATTAGAGATAGCCAGCATGGCTTTGTGCATGGGAAATTGTGTCTCACAAATTTGAGTTTCTTGAAGAGATTACCAAGAAGATAGATGAAGGCAGAGCAGTAGACATTGTCTATTTGGACTTTAGCAAGGCCTTCAACAATGCCCTGCATGGTAGACAGGATTGTAAGGTTGGATCACATGGGATCTAGGGAGAAATAGCCAATTGGATACAAAATTGGCTTTGTGGTAGAAGACAGAGGGTGGTGGTAGTGGGTTGTTATTTGGACTGGAGGCCTGTGACTGCAAGGCCGCAAGGATTGGTTCTGGGTCCTCTGTTGTCATCATTTGTATCAATGAGTTGGATTAGAATATAGGAGGTATGGTTAGTAAGTTTGCAGATGACACCAAAATTGGTGGCATAGTGGACTGTGAAGAAGGTTATCTACAATTACAACGGTACTCACACACTTACCCTCACTCAGTCACTGATTCTCACCCATACGATGATCCCTCACTCACTGATCCTTACTCACTCACTGACCCTTACTCACTCATTCACCCTCACTTACTCATTAACCCTCACTCATTGACCCTCACTCAATGTCATGCCTGCTCCCACCCAGTACATCTTGATTAGAGGGGCCAGTGGGCCGAGAGTGGCAGTTGGAGTCTAATTTAGATAAATGCGAGGTGTTGGTAAGGCAAATCAGGGCGGGACTTCTACAGATAATGGTAGGGCCCTGGGAAATATTGTTGAACAGAGGGACTTAGGGGTGCAGGGTCATAGCTCCTTGAAAGTGGCTTTGCAGGTAGACAGAGTGGTGAATAACACGTTTGGCACTTTACTGCCAGAGCATTGAGTATAGGAGTTGAAACATCATATCGTGGTGGTACAAGATATTGGTGAGGCCAATTTTAGAATACTGCATGCAATTCTGGTCACCTTGCTATAGGAAATATGTTGTTAAACTAGAAAAGGTACAGGAAAAATTTACCAGGATGTTGCTGGGACTGGAGGGTTTGAGTAATAAAGAGAGGCTGGATAGGCTGGGACTTTTTTCCCTGGAGCATAGCAGGCTGAGGGGTGACCTCATAGAGGTTTATAAAATGATGAGGAGCATGGATAACGTGAATAGCCAAAGTCTTTTCCCAAGGGTAGGGGAGTCCAAAACTAGAGTGCATTGGTTTAAGATGAGAGGGAAAGATTTAAAAGGGACCTGAGGAGCAACATTTGTCACACAGAGAGGGTGGTGCGTATATGGAACCAGCTACCAGAGGAAATAGTGGAGGTGAATATAGTTACAACATCTAAACAACATTTCGACAGGTACATGATAGGAAAGGTTTAAAGGGATATGGGCCAAATGCTGGCAAATGGGACTAGTTCAGTTTAGGATACCTGCTCGGTATGTACAAGTTGGACCGAAGGGTCTGTTTCCATGTTGTATGACTCGAGTGAGAATCAGTGATTGTGTGAGGGCCAGTTTGTACGAGGGTCAATGAGTGAGGGTCAGTGAGTGAGTAAGAGTCAGTGAGTGAGGATCAGTGACTGAGTGAAGGCCAGTCTGTGTGAGGGTCAGTGAGTGAGGGCTAATGAGTAAGGGTCAGTGAGTGAGTAAGGGTCAGTGAGTGAGGAACAGTGACTGAGTGAAGGCCAGTCTGAGTGAGGGTCCGTGAGTGAGTAAGGGTCAGTGAGTGAGTGAAGACCAGTCTATGTGAGGGGCAGTGAATGAGGGCCAATGAGTGAAGGTCAGTTAGTGAAAGCCAGTGTGTGTGAGGGTCAGTGTTTGAGAGAGGTCAGTGTGTGCTTGGGTGAGTTAGTGAGCAGTCATGAGTAAAAATCAGTGTGAAGGTCAGTGGGTGAAGATCAATGAATGAAGATCAGTGTTTGAAAGTCAATGGGTGAAGACCAGTGGGTAAAAGTCAGTGAATGAGAGTCAACAGTTGAATATCAGTCAGTAAAGATCGGTGAGTGAGCATCAATGGACGAAGACGAGTGGGTGAAGATCAGTGAGTGAGGGTCAATATGTGAAGATCAGTGAGTAAGGGTCAATGGGTGAAGAGCAGTGGGTGAAGATCAGTGAGTGAGGGTCAATGGGCAAAGACGAGTGGGTGAAGATCAGTGAGTGAGGGTCAATAGTTGAAGACCACTGGGTGAAGATTTGTGAATGAGGGTCAATGAGTGAAGGTCAATGAGTAGGGGTCAATGGGTGAAGACCAGTGAGGGAGGGTCAATGATGAAGACTAGTGAGCGAAGGTCAATGTCTTTGAAGTATCACAACCCATAAAATAGTAGCATTATGGTCATATTACTGGATTAATAATCCTAAGGCCTGATTAATGCCCCAAAGACAAGAGTTCATATCCCACCAAGACAGCTGGAGGAATTGATACTCAATTATGAAATGACAAAGAAGTCATTAGCCTCAGTAATGATGATGATGCAACTACCGGGCTGTTGTATCAAATTATCCGGCTCAGTGATTTGCTGTCCTGACCTGATCTGACCTAAATGCCACTGCAGGTACACAGTAATGTGGTTGACTGGTAACTACCCCCTGAAATGGCTATTAAGCCACTCAGCTCTATTAACCCACTACAGAGAAGCTGAATTAGAATCAAACCATTTGGATTACCTGGTATTGACCTTGGTATCAGAAAAGACAATGACATAACCTGCTCAAAAGGCACTTCTCACTAATATCTGCGAATTTGTTTGGCAAAATGTGAGAGTTACAGACTAGTTTAGTTTGATAAATGAGTAACAGCATGACATAGTCAGACAGGGAGTTCTCTACAATGACTTCAGTCTGCATGAAATCTCATGATATCAGGTCAAACACAGGCAAGAAAACCTTGTGTTGACCATCCCCACCTTGGGGACCACTTTATGGAACACCTACGCTCGGTTCGCAACAAACAACTACACCTCCCAGTCGCGAACCATTTCGATTCCCCCTCCCACTCCTTGGATGACATGTCCATCCTGGGCCTCCTGCATTGCCATAATGATGCCACCCGAAGGCTGCATCTCATATTTCGCTTGGGAACCCTGCAGCCCAAGGGTATCAATGTGGACTTCACAAGCTTCAAAATCTCCCCTTCCCCGACTGCAGCCCAAAACCAGCCCAGCTCATCCCCGCCTCCCTAACTATTCCTCCTACCTCAAGCCCCACCCCCATCTCCTACCTACCAGCCTCATCCCGCCTCCTTGACTGTCCGTCCTCCCTGGACTGACCTATCCCCTCCCTAACTCCCCACCTACACTCACCTTTACTGGCTCAACCCCGCCTCTTTGACCTGTCTGTCTCCTCTCCACCTATCTTCTCCTTTATCCATCTTCTATCCACCTCCCCCTTTCTCCCTATTTATTTCAGAATCCCCTTCCCCTCCCCCATTTCTGAAAAAGGGTCTCAACCCGAAACGTCAGCTTTCCTGCTCCTCTGATGCTGCTTGGCCTGCTGTGTTCATCCAGCTCTACACCTTAATCTGAGGGCACAGATAGGCACACGTGAGTTTGATATCATAGCTATAACCACGATTTGGTTGAAAGATGGGCAGAATTTGCATTTCCACATTCCTGGTTATAGCTTATTCAGTTGAGATGGAGAGGGGGATATAAGGGAGGGGAGATCATAGTATTCATCAAGGAATCAATTACATCCATGCGGAGGGATGATGTCTTGCAAGGATCATCAAATGAGGCCCTCTGGTTAGATTTGGAAAACACAAAAGAGACAAACCTGCTTTTGTGTGTGTGGTATAGGTCCCCAAACAGTCAGGGAGAGATAGAGGATCAAATACATAATCAAATTTCAGAGTGGTGCAACAATAATAAGACAATAATAGTCGGGGATTATTGCTGCTGGAATATTAACTAGGAGAGTTTGTGTGCAAG